GACCAGCTTTGGGTGAAATAGCAGGGAAGATTGTGCCCTTTAGCCATGATAGGGCAAGAGGAGTAAGGCTATATCACCCACTACTGTAACTGCTGCATTACCCAGATGATCCTAATGTGTCACGGTGTTCGTTTTCGTAAGTATGGCGACATTGCCTTTGGGTAAGTTATGGAACCTGAATGTTACAGAGGTGACAGTTGTTGTCAATTTAACAGAAACGCCCCCCATGAAACGCTTCCACCCCCATGAACCCCCCTGAAACGGTCCCCACACTCCACACACCAAGCTCAGGATATTGAAGAGACTTGTTGTCCTTAACTCTACTGCTATTCATCAGTTTCCATTGGCGTTAACACTTACTGAGTAAAGCATAATAACTAATAATGATGACTATTCATTATTTCTATAAGAGGTCGTTGTTAATTAAAATACTAAATAATTAGAAAGTATTATCATTTTTAGTCTAATATTTTATTAATCACGTGGTTATTTTTGCTTTTCAGGAATAATATAAAAAATATTATTTCTTATTTTTCAGTTTTTACTTTTTTTTAGTAATACATAATAAAAAATAATTTTGATTATTATTATTATTACTAACCATACAAATTTTATATAAAGACCTTCGTTAACTGTGAGCTGTACTTGTGAGTACAATTTTTTGTATTTCTTTAAGCCATGGGCTTATAATAATAATAATAATAATTATTATTATTATTATTATTATTATTATTATTATTATTATTATTATTATTATTATTATTATTTTTTTTGATTTCTGGCGTGTACACATTTCCGCCCAGGGACCTAAGGTTAGAAATGGCATCATGACACTTTACACTGACAAAAAAAAAAAAAAAATTACATAGATAAAGCCCTTCATAAAGTGTGGGGTGTACTTGTGAGAACAATTTTTTGTATTTCGTTAAAGCATGGACTTCCAGGAATCCATTATTATTATTATTATTATTATTATTACTATCATCATCATCATCATTCGATTTCTGCTATGGACACACTACCTACCAAGTCTGCGGAAAGACCTAAGGCAGGTCCTTTGATTTCTGGTTGTATAGACATTTCCTTCCAGGTCACCACCAGAGACCTAAGATCAGAAAAGGCTTCATGACATTTTGCAATGATCATTTATATATATATATATATATATATATATATATATATATATATATATATATATATATATATATATAAACCGAAAAAACCTAAGGTCACACACATTTGCATAAATAAAACCCTAGGTAAGGTGTGAGCAGCACTTTTGAGTACAATATTTTGTTTCCAGAAATCCTTTCAATGAGTCTATCGGAACTTTTTCCAATCAATCCGAGGGCTGCAACTCCAACTGGAATTATTGATGTCCTCACTATTATTATTATTATTATTATTATTATTATTATTATTATTATTATTAATGCTTATGATTAGTTGTTGAAATAGATAACATACCTGCAATAATATTTTTATTAATTCTTCATCTATATTCTGTAACCATTCAAAACGTGAGCGATTATGGTTCTCCACGACTTCTTTTCTTTTCAAAAATCTGAGTAACTTTTTTATTATTATTATTATCCTTCCTAGTGCCTATTCAGCAAATGATTGATAGTAAGTTATTCACTGCTGCCCTCTAGAATTCATTATGTTTTGTGAATGTCAAACTCTCAGGGAACTCTTTATATTCCCTAGAAATTTAATATAGTCTTTTCCTGGTTCAAAGTATAAATGTTTATTTTGTTTCTATTTGCCTTAAAACTTTGTTGTCGCTCACATGCTCCAGTCCGTGTAATTTCTTAGCAGCCTTTTGTAGAACCACATTTCTATTGCCTCAAGTATCTTCTTCATCTTTGAGAAGATTGTCCAGCATTCACTGTCATATAGGAGGACGGATATTACATAACAGTTCAATTAGAAAAGTGCAAATTTTAAACGCATTTAAATGTTAAATGCTAACCCGATGACGACTCGCTTCAAAAAGTGTGAGAAGCGTTTTAGTAAAGAAAATTTATGTCAGGGATTTCCTGTTTTTCTAAGTTCGAGTTCTAATAGGATTTTGAGAGATTTTTTTTTCTCTGAAAGCCATCCGTACTTTCTAAAAGATAACAACAAAGAAAAAAAAAAGGCTTAAGATTTAAAGAACTGCAAAAATTAGACGAATAACTACATGTGTATATGTGTATGTATGTATATGTATGTATGTATGTATTAAAAATACAAATAATTCCGTTATTGTTGCATTTCATCACATATATGATATGCGTAGCCGTGATTATTGAGCGCTACACGCATCACTACACACACGCATTTTTCGCACGCGTGTGTGTACACAAACATTTTCCCACTTGGCTGCTAAAAGAGAGAGAGAGAGAGAGAGAGAGAGAGAGAGAGAGTGTGTGTGTGTGTGTGTGTGTGACAGGCACAGCAGATATTTTCACGGAAATGATAGAAAAATGACCAGAATTCACATATACGATATGGAATTTTTAGTTGTTTTATTAATTTATCATTAGCGTGAAACCCAGGGTCACAAACTCACATCTATCCAACCAAATATGTTAGCTCTATCTCTGATATAAGTACCGCGCATATAATATATAAATAATTATACATACCTATATTTATTTATATTTATATACACTTTTCACACACACACAAACACACACACACACACACACACACACACACACACACAACATTATTATATATATATATATATATATATATATATATATATATATATATATATATATATATATATATATATAAGTAACGTGAAAATCTTGAGTAATCCGTATGGATAATCCCAAGGAGGATGAAACTTGAGAGCTCAATGTTAATTCAGAGCGAATAATTTAATTTAAAGTAAAACACACCACTTTAAAACTCCCTTTAATAATTTATTTCACTAGAGACTTAATTTTTCCCATGATCTTTCAGACATCTTTCAAAGGGTGTAATGAAAAAATGAAATTAAAATTTCATGTCTGAAGATCCCGGGAAAAATAAAAGTCTCTGGTGAAATAAATTATTACAATATATATATATATATATATATATATATATATATATATATATATTGTCACAGCCTTTATCATAAAAAGAAGTTAAATAGGCCATTTGACCAACACAATGTCTGATCAAAATTAACGATAAAAAATCAAAAGAAAACTTCAGATAAAGATCATTTTCTTCAGAAAGTCATTCATTCGTGTAGTTCACTGCTACTAACAGGCAGGATTTTTTCTCCTGATGATGGCCATGCTGGCCGAAACTAGTCGAGGAACCTAATTGAAATGATAAAACCAAAAATATATAAATACAACTCAGTATGACTGAAAATTAATTTTTTTAATTTTTCAATATTTTCTAGTGTTCAAAACACACACACACACACACACGCACACACGCACACACACACACACACATATATATATATATATATATATATATATATAGGGTGCGATGGATAATTTGTCATCTAAATGACGCAAAAATGAAAATAATACTGACATCTTATTTTAACAGATAAATTTAGCAAAATTACATAAAAATAACTTGAAATACTAAAGAGTAAATTTATTCAATAAAATCGTCATGGACCTCAACCGCGACCAACACATCGATTGTGTTGCAGTCAGGGAAGTTAAGTGGCCAGATGTAAGGCGTGATGTGGTCACAGAAATTGACAGGAATGACTAGGTTCTCCTGCTTGTGCGGCAATATGTAGAGTGCTGTTGCCAGACATAGGGACTTCATAAGACAACACTACCTTCTCAAGGTACTTGATGTAGACCTCCGTGTTGAGTCTGAAGCCCTGTGGGAAGATGAATAGAAGCATAACGTCGCCGTCGCTAGTGAACACTTCAAACACCTTCGTAATCACCATTAGACTCATCCAACTCTTTCCGAATCTGCGCTGTCCTCAGATTTACACCCAAATACACTGAAATGTCCGTATTGGAGGTTCCGGCGCGAATGCCAAGCAGTACAGCATGCCGTTTCCAAATTTCTAGCAGAGGGAGTTGCATCATTGTGGTATTTTACTCACAGGCGGTATCCAACTGACCCTACGATACTGAGCAGTCAACCAAATCAAAAACAAACAACGCGTATAAAGGAAATTAAAATTTACCCATCGCAACTTATGTACATACATGTATATTTTTTAATGTTTATACAGAGGATCGTTCGGCTAGCAAGGTCGATTTTACTGTTTCTAAAACGTTCCCCTGTGGCCCAATCGGTTAAGGCACGTCAGGCTATGACTGTTCCGTATAGGATACAGGTTCGATTCCTGTCGGGGGACGAATATTTTCTATGAAAATTTCTCGGACATTCAGGCCCGTAAATGTTGTTAATACTGTTTGTTATAAACAGAGCATTTACTTAAATATTTGTATCTATAAAAGGAAGGTATAAACATAAAAAAGATGTCTTAAAATAACTGTATCTTTTGTCCATTTCATAATATATATATATATATATATATATATATATATATATATATATATATATATATATATGTGTGTGTGTGTGTGTGTGTGTGTGTGTGTGTGTGTGTGTGTGTGTAAATAAAGTAAAACGTAACCAAAATCTTTTTAAAGAGTATGATAAAAAAGGCACAGAAAAAAGAGCACTAAATCAATTTCCGGTGAACAGGGGCGGCCTACAACTTGATGTTTCATGCGTTTTTTTTGCACCGTCGTCAGGTAGGCGGCAACTGTTATTTGCGAACATACGTATTTTATATGCCCTCGGGAAGTTCAAGTTGTTAAAACGAGGGTGAGCTAATGTGTGCATACATGCACACACCAAACAAACACACCGAGGGTGTGTGTGTGTGGGGGGGAGATGTAACTTACTTAGAAGGAAAAATTTTGAAAGTGTGGCTATCGAATCTTCACAAAATATAAATCTACGCAAAGGATTCTTCCCAAAAGCTCTCAATCTGAAAGAGTCACTACTGTTACAAGTTAAAATGTATGACGACAAAAATAATTACGACAATTGTGATCTATCTATCTATCTATCTATCTATCTATCTATCTATCTATCTATCTATCTATCTATCTCAGACCTTTCCTATCTATCTATCTATCTATCTATCTATCTATCTATCTATCTATCTCAGTCTATTCAAATGTATCTATCGCTGATATCTAGATAGATATCTATCCATGTCAGACTCTTCCTATCTATCTATCTATCTATCTATCTATCTATCTATCTATCTATCTATCTATCTCAGACTCTTCCTATCTATCTATCTCAGACTCTATCTATCTATCTATCTATCTATCTATCTATCTATCTATCTATCTATCTATCTCAGTCTATTCAAATGTCCCTTCTCTGACAATTGTTATGTATCTATCTATCTAGCAAGGCATCTAGTTATCTATCTATACTTCTGTCTATGTCTGTTCAAATCTCTACCTAGCTAGCTAGTTATCTATCTATCTATCTTTCTGTCTATCTCAGTCTGTTCAAATCTATCTATCTATCTATCTATCTATCTATCTATCTATCTATCTATCTATCTATCTATCTCTGGCAATTATTATATATCTACCTATTTATCTATCTATGTATTTTTTTCAGACTTTCAGATCTATTGTCTGTTTCTATCTATCTCTGGTTTCCATATCTATTGTCTGTTCACAATCCTCTCTCTCTTTCTCTCTCTCTCTCTCTCTCTATATATATATATATATATATATATATGCATATGAGAGAGAGAGAAGGTTAATTTGGTATAAAAATCGCATTGATGCGAGAAACTAAGTCATTATGCATCGTTGATTTTTATGTTCGCACTGTCTATATCTACCCTCTCTCAGGTACTGAACAATATAAAAATTTTAAACAAACTCTGACATTCACTCAATATATATATATATATATATATATATATTTTTATTTATTAATTTCAAAGTTATTTTTAGTGAATGCCCGTGTTTGAAATAGACACACCGTTATTTAGTTTTAAGCAGCTATTTTTCTATCGATCTGTCCACTCGGGGAATATGCTCTCTTCCAGGGTTCGAACACGTATCCCCCTTTGTAGGAGAAACTAACCTATGATCCGGCGTGATTTAGTCCCGTTGGCCGCTGAGAGCTTTTGCCCTTTTCAAGTTAATTCTTCAGAAGTGGTTTTGATTTTGTTTAGGATAAGAATTGAGTAAATACGACGTTTCCAGTATATCTGAACGAGCATTCTTCAGTAGAATGATTCTGAATCATTTTTTTTATAAAACCATTTTCTTCAGATTTTTATTTGTCAATTAATCACTTTCGGCCACTTATTATTTTTGAAATTCTTATCAAATATTATTTACATATCTCAAAAGGCCATTTTTCTTATCTTAGTTTTTTAATATTGCGATTTCCGGTCAAATTTTTCGCATTGTTTAACAAATTTGATCAGAGTGAGAAAGAAAAGGATAGAGAGCATATTCAGATAGATAGGTAGATAGATAGATAGATAGATAGATAGATAGATAGATAGATAGATAGATAGATAGATAAGAACTGTCCAAAATAGATAGATATATATATTTAGATGAATAGAATGGACTGCTGAATAGATAGAATGAGACTGTCTGAGACAGTTAAAGAACTATCTGATATATATATATATATATATATATATATATATATATATATATATCGAATAGTTCTGTCGAACAGTCCTTATCTATATAAGACACACATACATACACACATACATATGTATATATATATATCTTATATATATATATAAGATAAGATACATATATACGACGTATTTGTATATATATATATATATATATATATATATATATATATATATATATATATATATATATATGTATAAATATAAATATATCTGATATAATATACATATATATATATATACAGCACCTGTCTGGGATAGATAGATATATATATATATATATATATATATATATAGATAGATAGATAGATAGATAGATAGATAGATAAAATACTGTCTCAGATAGATAGATAGATAGATAGATAGATAGATAGGATAGATAGATAGATAGATAGATAAAATACTGTCTAGATAGATAGATAGATAGATAGATGAATGAATAGATAGATAGATGATAAAATACTGTCTCAGATAGATAGATAGATAGATAGATAGATAAGATAGGAAATTCGATTTAAATTAGCGATTATATTCCCCCCCTGCCACTAAGAAATTCACTCACGCTGTTTCTCCTCCTTTCTTTTCTTCAAAGCATAAATTCGCACTTTTCATCTTACACACATGCATACGCATCGTTTTTCTCTCTTTCTCTCTCTCTCATTTTTCACTCTCTCTCGCTCTCTCTCTCTCTCCCCATCTCTCTCTCTTTCTCTTTCTCTCTCTCTATTACTTTATTAGCTTCTTCCCCTTTTCTCTCTCACATTCCCTCCTGATCGCGATAGCTTTCTCTCTTACTTTCCATTTTAGATGCAAAAGTCCTCATATCCCAACACAAACACACAAACACATACCACACACCTCTCTCTCTCTCAATTTCATTCTCTGTCTCTCAATCTCTCTCTCACTCACTCACACACACACACACACACACACACACACACAGATATGCACACAGGCATGCGGACAGGCGCTCATACAAAAAGAAATCGATTTTTATATTTGTTCCGTAAGCACAGAGAGAGAGAGAGAGAGACGCGCGCGCACGCACGCTCGAGATTTTTAACCCTTTCCAGTCAGTAGTTCTTCGATTCAGTTTAGCGTTGTCCGCTGATTTTGTTCTCTGGCATTTGCTGTGTTCAGCCACAGAAAGTAGGATGCACACACCGAGAGGCGGAAAAACATGAGGAACAACGTCTTTGCATTTCGTGCTGAACAT